TTTTAAGAGTTCATGTAGCTCTATTGGAGCTTATGATAATAGGCAAGAGTTGAATGATACAGAGTCTATTACGATCTCATGTCAAAACAAAAAATGATTAGCCTTGTTAGTGTAAATTATTTGAGGGATAAATTATCAATAGATTATACTTTCGAGACTTATTATTTATTAAATTTTATTGATAAATTTATCAAGTAATGAATTTATCAGTCTCTCTTAAATAAATAATTTTACAACAATAAACTTATTAGTCAGAATATATAAGTAAACAAGTCTAATTAATAGAACGGATTGATAAGTACTCCTTATTTGGAATTCACTTGTAATTTTTGGCTTTTAAAGATGAATCCTATATAAGAGATCTGTATCATTTAATTTCAAAGCCTGGGGACATCACCAAAATTTTGAAAATCTTGTGATGAAAATCTTAAAAAACAATATAATATATCTAGAAAGTGATGGGAGACATGGCCAATATTTTGAAATTTTTATTGTCCATTACAAAAATACTATGTATCATGAAAATTTATTTCAAATTTTATTTTAAAAATGAATGTATTTTGTAAATTTAATATTTTTGCTTTGAAAGTAAATATATGGTGTAAATTTACAATTAAAGAAACATCAGAATAAATGTATGGTGTAAATTTATGAGTGCATATTATATACACTTATTATGTATTTTTATAGTGTATGTTATATATTTTTATAATAAAATATTATGTAATTTTTTAATAGAAATACGATAATTTGTGATTCAAAAATAAAATTACGCATTTTGTTGTAATGTTACATATTTTTTTTTATCCAAACATCTTTTAACCAAAAAATTTGTAACATTACCATAAAAATAGGTAACATTACTACAAAACACGTAACTTCATTTATAAATCATAAATTACCTTAACTCTACTAGAAAAAAATAAATAACTTTTAGCACGAATACATAACATATACTAATTTTAAGCTGCGTGCAGCATAGAATCACCTTGCTTGTTTTCATTTTTCAAAAAAATCCAAACCAATTTAATTTGAATTATGGATTTTATTTTAATAAAAAATAAAATTAAATTCAAATGTTTTTGGCCCAAAAAGATTAGAAGCCCAACCACACACCCGCGGCCAAGCCAAGCCCGCCCGACCGACCGGACGGCGGCGCGCGTGTGTGGTGATTTTTGGGTCCAATGGGTCTAGCCCATTTTGCCCATAACCTCTCCCTCTAAAACACTTGGGTACCCCTTGGGGCACACCCCAAGTATCTCACCCTAAGCCTTATAAACCCTTTCAAAACCTCCCACCAAATCAATGTGGGACAAGCCAATTACAACCTTAAGGAATTTCCACCAAAACTCCATTTTCATGGAGCACACTTTGGCTTCAATTTCCCATTCACTCGGTAATGGTTTTGAGCAACCAAATATACCACGTGAATCACAACGCGGCATAGAACGCGTTACCACTTTGACCCGAGTTAATCGACACTCGGGGCCCACCTAAAAAATAGACCTAACTTTAGGAAAAAATAACCATTTCCAACAAATCCTATATAAGAGATCCGTATCATTTAATTTCAAAGCCTGGGGACATCACCAAAATTTTGAAAATCTTGTGATGAAAATCTTAAAAAACAATATAATATATCTAGAAAGTGATGGGAGACATGGCCAATATTTTGAAATTTTTATTGTCCATTACAAAAATACTATGTATCATGAAAATTTATTTTAAATTTTATTTTAAAAATGAATGTATTTTGTAAATTTAATATTGCTTTGAAAGTAAATATATGGTGTAAATTTACAATTAAAGAAACATCAGAATAAATGTATGGTGTAAATTTATGAGTGCATATCATATACACTTATTATGTATTTTTATAGTGTATGTTATATATTTTTATAATAAAATATTATGTAATTTTTTAATAGAAATACGATAATTTGTGATTCAAAAATAAAATTACGCATTTTGTTGTAATGTTACATATTTTTTTTATCCAAACATCTTTTAACCAAAAAATTTGTAACATTACCATAAAAATAGGTAACATTACTACAAAACACGTAACTTCATTTATAAATCATAAATTACCTTAACTCTACTAGAAAAAAATAAATAACTTTTAGCACGAATACATAACATATACTAATTTTAAGCTGCGTGCAGCATAGAATCACCTTGCTTGTTTTCATTTTTCAAAAAACACTTTTCAGAAAATTTTACTTTATTATTTTTCGTGTTTTTTTGTTTTTACTGATTTTTTTTAATATTTTAAGTATTTTTTTTTACTTTTTAGACACATCTAACATAAATACACCTAAAAAGTAAAAAAATTGTAAAAAAAATATTTTAAAAATTCACTAAATTCCAAAAACACAAAAAAATACAACAATTCAGTACATATTTTGTATTTTTATGTATTTATTAATTTTTTAAAATATTTTTTCACAATTTTTTACTTTTTAGATACATCGAAGTAAGGTGCATCTAAAAAAGTAAAAAAAATGTTTAAAATTTTAAAAATATTCACTAAAAACAAAAAAATACGAAAATCAAAAAACTCAATTTTCAAAAAACTTAACCCAGAAAACTCAAAAAACTCAATTTTTTATCCATCCATTGCCTACCCTCTCTGGGTTGTCTTTCTTGTGCCTTAATTCCATCACCTGCATATTCAAACCGATTGATATCAACAAAACACAAATAAATTTGTAATTATCCAATATCTTTCTTCTATGTATCAACATATTTGTATGTACAAACATCATCATAAAAGAAATAGAAACTAATGGAGGTTTTGATTAAGGAAAGTGGACAACCTTGAGAGTAAATTCAACGTGACTACAAATATCTATAATTAATATGTAGCGATGTGTGCCTTAGAAAAGTTTCTCACCATTAAAAAAGAGAAGAAATTATTGGATGCTTGGAACCATATTTGTAAAAGAATTTACCGAAAAAAAACTATAACCGAGAATTACTTTAATATATATATATATATATATATATTGTGCGAGCTAAATAAAAGTAAATTTAATCGACAAACAAAATACATCCAAGCCCATCTTTGATGGGCTAGATTTAGCCAAGATCTATTGGACTCAAACAAGTCATTGTCGAGTAGATACAAATGGGATGAAGAATGTGCTGAGTTAGGGATACCTAAACTATGTGTTTGAACCGAGCATATTAGATAAGTTGGCATGACCTCTTTAAGTGGTCTATAATGTCCTCATTTGAAAAGTATAATAGGGAGATGGGCCTTGACATCATGATGATGAAGGGTTAAGCTGTAGGAAAAAATATCAAGGTAGCAAAGACTCTTCTTTTTAAACAAACTAGCTTGCTCGTCGGAGTGCTAATTCGGACACCACAGACTGAATTTTTTTCTTCTGTAGGTGACATCTCAAGGATCTTTCAAGAGTTTGTTTGGATTAAATGAGTATTCCAAAATCACTCCCCACATATGTATATATATATATTTTAAATAGTTGTTTGGATAGTTGAACAGATTATTAGGATCACCACATTGTGTTTAATTTACACATTGAATAAATACAAATCGGTTTGCTAAGACCATGTCTTATTGATGCAATTGGACTGTAAAGAATATTATCAATGAAATTAAACAAGCAATGTAACCAAATTTTTATTTTTTTTAACTTTAAATTATAATAATATTATATAGGGTAGCTAGGGTTTTATACTTTATACAATAAGTCCTTTTCCTTCACATTTTCTATTGATTCTTGAAGATGTGATTTAGGTAGATTTCCCCACATTCTCTCTCTCACTCTCTCTCTCTCTCATTCTCATGAATTGTTTTGAAATAGATTAGTTGCCCTTGGGAATTTTGCTGTATTATGAACTTGTATAATAATGCCTTGTCCTTGTTGTATGCTCTTTATTTGCACCAATGAATGTTATCTTGACAAAAGCAGAAACAAAAAAATAACCCAATCCACCTTCCCTTTTTTTTAAGTAAGTTTTATTTTCTTTGTTTTGTAGTGATTAATTTCAAATTGAGACATAATAATATGCCAACCCATTTTGGTTTCATATGAGTTTATGTAATTCTACTGGAGTGGAGCTGAGGATAACAGGTAAGGGTTCAATTATGTGGAATCTATTACGGTTTCACATAAGAACAAAATATAATTAGCCTTGGTAATATAAATCATTTGGGATCCCTCTTCTTGTAAACTGACTTTCAAAAGTGTATTCTATTTTAAGAGATTTGTATCATTTAGTATCAAAACATTGGAGACATAGCCAAGATTTTCAAAATCTTAAAACACAATCATAAATCTAGAAGTGCATTAGAGACATGGCTAAAATTTTGAAAATCTTATCATCGAGTTACAAAAATGTTATGTACCATGAAAATTTATTCCAAATTTTACTCCAATGAATGTATAGATTTAACGTAAGTGTAACCACAGAATAAATGTAATCCGTGTATTCACTTTTTTAGTTAATTTTTATAAACATGATTGAATTACAAGCTTGAATTCCATTCTTGACTAAAAGATTTTACCAAAAAAAAACATTGCTATGTTTGAATCTTGAGATTGTGGTGCAGTGAAGGTATTTTAAAGAACACAAAACTAAGAGATTCAAGGAAGGAAACATTGCTTTGATTTTTTTGATCCCTCCATTGCCTACCCTCTCTGGGTTGTCCCTCTTGTGCCTTAATTCCATCACCTTCATATCCAAACCAATTGATATCGTCGAAACAGAAATAAATTTGTCATTATCCAATCTCTCTTTTATGTATCAACATATTTGTATGTACAAACATTATCATAAAAGAAATTAGAAACTAAGGGGGCTTTGATTAAGGGAGTGGATAACATCATCATAAAAGAAAATAGAAACTAATGGAGGCTTTGATTAAGGGAGTGGATAACCTTGAGGGTAAATTCAACTGGTGTCCTGAAATTCTAGTTTTCCAATTTTGACCTTTAATTGTGCATAAATATCAGCCATAGAAACCATAATAAATGGACAATTTGAGGATAATATTGGCATGGAACAAAATCCACAGAACACCAATAGCCTTCATATATTAGTATAGAGGTAATATCAACCACACCGAAACAATCATTAAAAAAATAATCAAGTAAACTAGCACATCACAGGTACAAAGAAATTTGAAGAAGCAATCTTTGCAACTGACAAAATCAGTGTCAAGAATATCACCATCATGGAAGACGGAGGAGCCTATTCACAGCCGAGTCCAAAGTATCTACGTTCTTCCTCAGAATTTTTCTTTACAAATATCAAGGAAGCAAATCCAATGGAACTGCAGAGTGAAAATCTTTGTATAGATGAAAGATTACATCGAATGCTACCCAAGGTTTTGAAGTTCTGATTCAAAATTCAGAATATTAGCTTGTCAAAACTTGGCATAACACCAATGAACCACCAAAAAAGTTCTTTGGCCCTTGATGTCAATGTGTGCGAGTGTTATTAATTTAATGTACGATTGAAAAAAAAAAGAAAAAGAAAAAAAAGAAGGATGTCAATCTCTCAGGTCTTGAACCTTGGAAATTTATCATACAAGAAAGGAGTAGGGAGAAGCAATATATATAAAGTAAGCTCAAGTAAAACCAAGGATACAGTTGTGTGGCTAGACTATCCATGCCTTTTATTTCCTCATTTAATCTGCAAACAAGCAAGTTCCACAAGAAAGAGTCAGTGCAAATGCAAGTTCCTTTATATGTAAAATGACAATATTTATTATTTGATGTTATAATGAAAGCACTGAAGTTCAATCCCCAAGGAGTAGCAGCTCCCACATTTATATCTGAAGTTCCAGTTCTAGATTTGATTTAAGATCCCTGAAACTCTTGAGTCACCAACTGGCTGCTGAAGTGCAAAATGACACAGGCAACAACCAACCTTCCTCCCAATGAAATTTATCAAAATTTATTCCTTTTCTTTTCCTTTCATTTTGGCAGTACTTCATATTTTAAATTTTAACTAACTACTAAAAAGTTTGCCTTAGATATTGCCACAAAATGTATATTGTTGTACAGTTATTGTCCAGCTCCAGTTTCCATAACTTCCCATGTAACTACCATTAGAACCAAGCAAAACATCCTTTCGGAACAGTAGTTCAAAATTGATCAAAACATGCTGAAAAGTTATCAGGATTTATCAAAATGGCAAGGTGAAATCAAATTATATACCTGAGACAGGAATTTATATAGTGATTCCCTTTTGTTGCTGCATCAAGTGCTGCAAAAGAATAATAAAATTCAAATCAGAGGATCCAAAATATAGGTCAGCAATAATTGGGTTTAATAAGAAAAGTGAGCCTCATATGTGTGTGTGTGTATCTGTGTGTGTGTGTGAGAGAGAGAGAGAGAGAGAGTCACAAGGAGAAACTAATGCAGAAATAAAACCTCAGGCAAAAACTAACTGTTGTTTTGCAACTATCACCAAGCTCTTCTGTAAAGACAACTGGGCAAGTGATGGAAAGGTAAAGAATAAAGCCTGGCACTGGCAGCAGGATCTCTGCAGCCATGAAGTGGAAGCGCAAGAGAGAGTCTACGGCCAGACACTACCAAATTAAAAAATGAATATACTCAATGTTGAGAACTTTTCATTACATTGAGATGGTACCAAATATAATACAAAAACAAAAATAGAAGCCCTAAAGGAAATGCAGTCAGTAATATTGTACATTCACTTATAGTAAGACAAATGAAGTCTCACAAAACTACACTACAAGTATCTGCCCCAATTCCTTCCAACCAAACTAGGTTGAAGCAACCATAACATGTTGATCACCCATAACCTTCCTAAACCACTACAGGAATTTAAATCCTAGACTTTTCTAGTGAGCTTCAACTTGTATTAGAGAGCTGTTATGCTAAATAACTGTTTTAATTTGGCTAGTAGTATATTCTTTTGCTTTCCTCAGTTGAACAAGAGAAAGCAGACAGAAAGATTGCAAAGAACTTAATTCTTTTTTGCAATAAATTTTCCCTTCTCTTCTGTTGTCAGGCAACCTATGAGCACCTTAGAAGTCATAATCATACTGGATTGTAGACCAATGCCATGGAAGGAAATGACAATTATATGAATATCCTATATTTTTAACACAAAAATTCAATTACTCTCAATTCTACCAAAACATTTTGAGTTTATTAAACACATAAATATATAAAGCACAATATCAATCAGTATAATCACAATTTACCACATTCTTGAAGTCGGCCTGCAGCATCACTGAAGCATTGCATATGGTCAACTGAAGTGCTTGTTACCTGCAAAATATTACTTTGTGTCATCACATAGACACAATATTTGATTAAAAAAAAAAAATCCAATTTCAACTCCACAGAAATTAAACAATCCCAACTTCATACATATTTTGACCATGTTTATTTGACTTAATAGTTTGTCAAACTGACACATGTAATATATACACAATCTTTTAAATTCTCATACAGCTTACTTCAGTTCTCTAGTCTAGAATCCAAATCCACTATCATCTACCACTTCAACAATGTCAAACAAACTGTATACATCAATTTTTCACTTTAACAGTTTCGCCATACCAAATAAGGAAAAATGGTTCACCATAAAGTTGCAATAAAGATATCCACCATCAATTTTTGCTGGAAAGTCGGTTCCTGACTAAAGAAACAGAACTCTTCCAAGAGCAAGTCCTCATTTTCAACCAAAACCAAATGCACAATTTTCCATTTTTATCCCTCTTCAAATGAACACAAAATCTGAGAATATGAAACTAACAATTACACAAACTTGGATCAGAATATATTTTTCATAAACAATTGAATTATTTTATTCCCCACCACCACCATCACCATCACCATCAAAATTTTCCCGTCTAAAGAAACAGAACAATTCGAATAGAAAAGGCCTCATTTTTATCCTTCTTCCAACGAACACATAATCTAATAATATGAAACTAACAATTATAGAAACTTGGACAAGAAATTTCATAAACAATTGCAGTGAATAACAGAGAAGTTGAAGAAGATTATACGAAATTGACTGACTGACTGACCTCGGCGAGAGCCAAGCGTAGGGAAGCGAAGAGAGAGGTGAAGCTGTCGGCGATCGCCACCGAGTCTCTCTCCACGACCTCCAAAACTCTCAGAATCTCCTTCTGATCCAACGATGTCGATTTCGATACTCCAATTTCATCAACTCCCACTTCTTCCTCAACATCTTCTTCTGAGACTAGGGTCTCATTCGTCGCTTTCTCTGATTCCATCTCACTCAAAAGTTGATTAATCGTTTTTCTGGCGATTTTCTCACTTCATTTATTTAAGGGCAAATTATCCGGAAGTTTTATTTGAAAGTGGAGAAATTTATTTTGAATAATGAATTGCAGCTCAAATTTTTCTCCTCCCTAGTCCCCGAATGTCCAAAACGACGTCGTTTTGGATATATATATATTTTTTTTCCTTTTCTCTTCTTCTTCGTCTTGCAGGTCTGAAACAGAGGGAGAGGAGAGGAGAAGGAGAGGGAGGGGGAGAGGAGAGGGAGAGAGAGAGGAGGCAGGTCGTCGTCGTAGCCCCCTCCGCCGCCGTCGCAACCCTCTGCCGTCGCCTCTGCCCATCGTCGCAGCCCCGCCTTCGCTGATTGTCGTCACAGCCTCTACCTCGCAGCCCCCGCCCCTCCTCCGCCTCCAGGCCAATTTGTTGGCCCCCTCCAGTCCTTCTTCTTCCTCATCCTCCTTCTTCCTTCTCTTCTTCTTTTTCCTTCTGATTTTCTTCTTCTTCTTCTGAAAAAAAAAAAAAAATGAAAACGCCGAAACGGCATCGTTTTCGTTTCGGGGGGAATTCGGGGAAGCTCTTTCGAGCTACATAGCATTACCGATTTATTTTAGTCTTACAATATATTTTGGATATTTTTAAAAGTTCATTAGGTATTTTTCTTTTTCGTTCTTTTCTATCTCCTTTATTTTATTTTATTTTATTTTCGGTGGCTAGTGATTACATAGGTGCCGTTTGGTAACACTTACGTTTTTAGTTTTATATTTATATTCATCAAAATTTAAAAAACTCAAATAAAGACTTGTTTGGTAAAATTTTTGATTTATAAATCAGTGGTCTCAGTTTATAAATTTAGCCAAAAAATGGAAATACAAAAAATGTGTTTTCGTTTTGAGTTTTGAATTTTTTTTTTACCACCCAACACTAACCCCCCCCCGCCACCATTTTCCACCACCGTCTTCCGCC